TTATGAAATTTTGCAGAGCATGAATATGGCATTCAAATGCGTGCATAGTTCCGATGAGATAGAGGGTGGTATCCAAAACATACATCCACATTAAATTTGGTGTTTCATGCGTTTAGGTACCTTTAAGGTGTTTTAATAAACATCTTGTTTTAAAATCGATATCTCTCGTTCTGCCTTTGGTATTCGAGAAAAGGTATTTTAAATATACTTAGTTACCGAAATCGACGCACCTATGCAAAGCAACAGACAGACAGATATGGCTAGATCAACCGGACACGTATGCTCATCATATGAATTCTGTGGCGGTCAGATAGATAAACGGACAAAATCGACTCAGCTGTCGATGCATATTGTAGGGTCAAAGATGCCGCCTTCTGCCTGTTACTTGCACGTGCATAAGTTTACCCTATTTTACCAATTTGTAACGGGTAAAAAACCGGTGAGAGAACGTTTTGCGGTTTGTGGGCAAAAGAATTAAATTGTTACGAATCGGCAAATGTACTAAACAACAGTTGGCCTGAATATGATCCTTTAAACGTTGCTGCGGTTGCCTATACGTAGATAAATGAATTTTTAAATGCTTCCAAACCGCAGTCAAATTATGATCCAGCTCCCTATCGTGCACAGTGACACGATCTACGCATATGCACAAGCATATTCCTACATATGCTAAATACACATGCATAAAAAAGATCAATATATTTGCTAGATACAAATTGAATATTCACCAGCCGAGTAGTAGTAGACTTGCTCCAGTCGAGAGGACCCGACCAAGAGACACTAGCTTTGACTACACATGCTTCACAATCCGGTTGTGCTTTTTAAAATACCTGCAAGCTTGTATGTTCAATGTGGAGTTTAAAGGGCAAGGCTGTAACGAATTCGGACTTTGGGGGTGAGAGAGTATCTATGATATTATGTGTATGATATACGAAAAGCTACTAAAACCCTAAGGTATAATTTAATATAAACATTATCTGCGCTTGATATAGATCATTCAAAACTTTCATTCTATTTTAAGCTAGCATTTAATTTTAGTTGGCAGTCGGAAAAGTGAAATGAAGTAAGTTTGCCAGATAAAGTCCACGGAAAATAGAAGCATCATGAGATCCATTGTGGTTGCGGCACAAGGGACGAATGGGTTGTGCGAAAAGTGTGAAACAAGGCTCAAATGAGTTTCCACAAACATTTTGGAAAATGATTTCCAGGCCAAATGGTAAGCAAAATCATTTAACAATTGTTTTTATTTTAATTAAGTGTATAAGCCTATCATTATTTGTTCACAAATATTAAAAAATTAATTTGAATTAAAACTACATTCAATTTAATTTTAATTATCATGATACTAAGCAAAAGCGTATGATGAAACGCTTTTTCTTTTTTTTATAGAGTTGGGGCCCCTAAATCCCAATTGGGCTTGTAGCCCAAGTTATATTTTAATAATAAGAAGAAATTAAAGAAATTATTTTTGGTCATTTACGAAGGTTGGCTGGCTATATTTGCCATAACATTTCAAAGAGATAATCACCGATAAAAAGCCAACACCAGTTTTATTATATAATTCTCAGCAGTTTAAAAACTTTCTAATGCAAAGTAAACACAGCGCTAGCTTGCTTAAGCTTTAGCAAAAATATAAACTATAAGCTTAAGCGATTTCCTTAATCAAACAGATTTTGATATGGGGGTGGCGGCAATTTATTAATTACTTAAACTCGTACTGCACTAAGAGGACCTATGTTCCAAATTTCAAGTCTCTAGCTCTTATATGTTCTGAAATCCTTGCGCTCATACATACGGACAGACGGACGTACATGGCTAGATCAACTCGGCTATTGCTGCTGATTAAGAATATACTTATATACTTTATCGGGGTTCCCTCTGGCACAAATACATTTACCTTTTACCCAGTTTAGTGGGTTCAGGGTATACAAATTATCGAATATCGAATAAGGCAACATTGTTAAGTCTTAGGCTAGGCTTAGTTTTAAGGCATTAAAATTATGCAAGAACAACTTTTCGCCAATAATTTATATATATTGGTAAAAAATGTTTGTAAGTGTAGATGGACGCGATATGTATTTATATATCATTTTGCCAGATCTGCCGCACATTTGCACAACTTGTTTTGCAATATATTTGTATCCTTTTTTTATTTTTTGTTTTTACCTATTTTAAAAGCTTCAAATTATACGTGTTCATACAAACGAATTTGCAGCCATTATGAAGCGTGGACTTACGCATAACGGCGCATTTAATTTGAGATAGAAACACTTTGTAGAAATGTATCAAGTCAAATCAAACGATCAGTTGCGAACTCTCGCTATATATCTTTCTCTTTTCTGAGCATTTGGGTATCTGGTTGCGTTTCAATATACAATAAAGCTCACGATCGGTTCACTAATTATGCTTAATTATTGATTATTGCGGGTTTTCACTAAGCCGCCAAATTGCGTGTACGTGCGTCTGTAAAATAACTTTCACAGATATGTTGCCCATTGTTGTTGCTAATCACATTATAGAACAGAAACTGTACCGAAAATGCAGGAATAATTTAGTCAGATTCTCTGCAACCAGACACACGCACACCTTTTAGTGGTTTATTATACACTGTGCACAAAGTAATAGAGTATATTGGTTTTTACAATGTACGTACGCCTGTCTTATCTCCTTTATTGAAGCTACACATTCATTCCTATGATTCCCACAGTTCTAAAACCGAATTTCAATGAGCTCCTTCGAATATCGAATATCATTACCCGAATAATGCCTGGGCCAAGTCTAAAAGTGCCCAACCAAATGATATAGAAGACTCTTTTCCATTTAAGTTTGTAATGTTCGATAAACAGAGTATTGCATAACTAATTATACCCGATTACAGCATCCATCTTAATAGTTTTCCTTATTCGCATAGATATCGCAATATGCTAACAATTTAGAATAGTCAACGATTAGATTTTGGGTAAGTATCCTTACATCCAAATCATTTATTATATTATTATATTTTATATTTTATTTTAGAGATAACCTTGGAGATGGATACATACTATTTATATATATTTTAAAGGTAATTGACTACTACCTAATGGGAATAATAATTTAAAGTGCATTTAAATGAGAAATAAGGTCATCAATTACCTCGACATTGGCATCCTTATATAAGGATATTGTTGAATAGAAGTATGGCAGATTATATCTCATTAACTCCCGATGCTTATAAATTGATGAGCAAAAATATTGATTTATATTTACCAAGCTTGTTGTGAGTGGATTGTTTAGATTTTCGGTTGATGAACAGATATAGGATTCGGATGGTCTTATGATTTTTATACCCTGAACCCATTAAAAATGGGTATAAGGATATATTGTATTTGTGCAAAATCCAAATGTATGTAACATGCAGAAGGAAGCATCTCCGACCCCATAAAGTATATATACCCTTGATCAGCATCAATAGCCGAGTCGATCTAGCCATGTCCGTCTGTCTGTCCGTCCGTCCGTCCGTCCGTCTGTCCGTCCGTATGTATGAACGCAAGGATCTATAAGAGCTAGAGACTGAAATTTTTTTGAAATTTTAGATGTAGATGCTCCTAGTTCCCGCGCAGATCGAGTTTGTTTCCGATAATCGATAACTTACTCCGTTTCCAAGCAATCGATAAAAATCGATATCGATATCTTGTTTTTTGGGCAGTTTTGGTAAATAATAAGAGCTAGAGTCACCAAAGTTGTCAGCAAACTTGATATATATATTTGCTGATGGAAGAAGAGGGTTCAGGGTATCCCCTAGTCGGGAGCTTCCGACTAGAACCTCTTACTTGTTATATAGAGTCTTACTGATGCGGTCGTTAAGAGTTGGCTTCCATCAATGAAGTTTATCTGATCTGACTGAGTTTTCCCAATTTATGTTGGTGTTGATAAGTTGAAATTCTCGTCAAAGAGGTTGGATTTCGTTTTTTCAACCAAATCTTTAGCCTTGGATTTTGCAACATTCAGCTTCATTTTCCAATAAAAGAAATAGTTGGATATGGAGTGTAATGACCCTAAAGTTCGTTTTGTATATGAATACACAGGAACCACAACTACAATAGAGAGCCGGGTCATCCGCATAAATTGGCGTATATTCACCTGCCCGTACAGAAGCTTTGCATTGTTTTAGTTAAGTATGTGGGGTTGTGGTAGCAAATACCTTGTGGATCAGACCATTGTGTCATACTGTGTCGAACACGGTTTGAACATCTAATGGTACACCGCAAACTGGCTTTTCTGACTAAGATTATGCCCAACAACAGATATACTCTAAACAGATACTGTGGGTAAAAATGTACGTTAATTAAAATGGTCTCGTTTTCATTTTGCAAAAACATTCTTTAATGCTGATTAATTAATTATTGTGGCCACCTTCAAAACAATTGTTTAGAAGCAGTGCTATCTAAGCCAGTGCATTTTTTTTTAACATGGCTTGCCTTAAGCATTTGTGTTTGAGATTTGATCAATGTCTGCACATTTTTTGCTTTTAAGCGGTGATAGCCATAAAATAAAAGATACTTGATCGGAATATACTGCTATAGAAGCTATATGTCAAGCTTGGTAATTATAGCTCTTCATACCTAGGAGTTATGCTCAAAGAACTTCGTAATCGCTTTTATAATTCTGTGTTATTTTGTATGTTTATCATACAAACATTGACCACCATTTTTCCACCATCTGCGGATCAAATTTTCCAAATCTTCGTCTTATTTGAAATTGTCAGCTTCCTAGCTCTTACAGTTATGGTTGTGTGTTGATTACAAATCACTCGGTTAGACTTCAGTCCGTCAGGAGAGTTTCCACTTTCAGTATTTTAAATGCGCGCCGGTTAGCGCCATCTATTGCCCGCCATGTCAACTTGAGATAATGCGAGTAACACAAAGCTGGCTGCTATGTAAAAAACATGAGAATATTTCGGCATAATCGCAGATATTTGCTGACAGCTGTTTACTCATTCTCTCTCCTCTCTTTATTTCAACGAGGTAGTCCCAGTCAGCAGCCGTGCTACAACTTCATTTTATTGTGACCGGCACCAGCACTTAATGTAAATATAAAAAAAAAGCACTTTAATTTATTCAATACAATTTAAAGTGTTCGAGTAAATTTACAGCCAGGGCGAACAGCAGGGTATAGCTTACAAGTAAGTATGAACGTAGCAAATGTCGTTGAGGTTATGTTGAATGCTGTGGCCAAAAATGGTATAAAAACATATACATCTACATACCACACATCTCTTTTGCATGAACAGCAACAAACAGTCAATATGCCACCTAAGAAGCACGATGAACCTGAACGCAAGCCATTGATCGGACGCATTGGCACTAACCTGCGCATCGGCATTGTTGGCGTGCCCAACGTTGGCAAGTCAACGTTCTTTAACGTGCTGACCCAAAGCGCCGCTCCAGCTGAGAATTTCCCCTTCTGCACCATTAAGCCCAATGAGAATAAGTATTCCAATTATCATCAGCAGCCGCTGGCCATACCAATCGCAATTTACGTTGCCTTTAAATAATTGTAATCAATGGCATTTGAACAATTTTTTTTTTTTTTTTTTATATTTTGCGTTCAATCGATTGCCTCGCCAAAGCTTCCAAGAGTTGCTTCTTGCTTTGCTGCCGTCGCGGGGGCGTGGCCCAGTCTCGGCAATTTGCCGGGTCTAGTTGCAGGCTAAGATTCCACAGGCTGCAAAGCAACGGGCCAGCAGCTGCTTTGTATGCAAATTACGCGCGGGCCGTTTAATTTGAGCGACTTCATTTTGGTTTACTTCGAGTGCGCGGCTGTGGCTCGCGGGGTTGGTGATTTAAAACAAAAAAAAATTATAGAAAATTGCAATGATTGGCAATGTGGCTAAGTCAGTGCCGGCTTCGATTCCGCCCCAAACCCAATTTTTATACAAGCTAACATGCGTTTTGCTTTCTCTCTCTCTCTCTCTCTCTCTATCTCGTTTTTTCTCTCGCTCCAACTCACTTGACTTGCGTTACCTGCACGTCGGGTGATCGTGCCCGACGAGCGCTTCGACTACCTTGTGGAGTTTCACAAGCCAGCCAGGTGAGTAAGTCGTGTGTTGTGTTGGGCAAATAAAATTGTTTGTTGTTTCTTGCAGTGTTGTGCCCGCTTATCTAAATGTGGTAGATATTGCTGGACTGGTCAAGGGCGCCGCCGAGGGACAGGGTTTGGGTAATGACTTTCTTTCGCACATCAGTGCTTGTGACGCCATTTTCCATTTGTGCCGCGCCTTTGAGGATCCGGACGTGACGCATGTAGAGGGAGAGGTTGATCCTGTGCGCGATTTGGAAATCATTTCTGAGGAACTTCGTCTGAAGGATGAAGAAAAACTGCTGCAGAGCCTTGACAAGTTGGAGAAGGTTGTAGCTCGAGGTGGCGACAAAAAGCTTAAGCCCGAATATGACTCCATGCTGAAAATCAAGGACATATTGATTGATCAGAAGCGTCATTTGCGCTTTGAGGACTGGAATGCGCACGATGTAAGCACCGTACATTTGTATCGCTATTTTGTCCGTCTTCTAATTTGTTGATTGCATCTTTTTCTTGAATTTAGATTGAAACTTTGAACAAATATTTGTTTTTGACCTCCAAGCCAGCCATTTATCTGGTCAACCTTTCCGACAAAGATTTTATCCGCAAAAAAAACAAATGGCTGCCCAAGATTAAGGATTGGATTGATAAGAACGACCCGGGCGCGTTACTGATACCCTTCTCAGGTGCATTCGAGCTGCAGCTTAGTGAAAAGGATGATTTAGAGCGCAAGGCCTACGAAGAGGAGACCAAATGCAAAAGTCAGCTGGACAAGATCATTATTACTGGTTACAAGGCCTTGCAGCTGGAATATTTCTTTACTGCCGGCCCCGATGAGGTCAAGGCTTGGACGGTCCAAAAGGGCACAAAGGCGCCACAGGCCGCTGGACGTATACACACTGATTTTGAGAAGGGCTTCATTATGGCCGAAGTGATGCACTTCGAAGATTTTAAAGCGGAGGGCAGTGAGGTAGCTGCTAAGGCGGCCGGCAAATATCGCCAGCAAGGGCGCAACTATACCGTGGAAGACGGCGATATAATTTTCTTCAAATTCAACGCCGGCGCTGGTCTTAAGGATGCCAAGAAAAAATGATATCGTATGGCCACTTAGATAATCATGTTGACTATCTCGTACATTTAATTTTATATTCACAACTGTTTGCTTTTCCTGATGCCAGATGCCCGTTTCACATACATACATGTCCCAAGTAAAAATGCATTTGATTTTTGTATGACAAAAAGTTTTGAATTTTATTTTGCTAATCCAGCATTAAATAAGTAGTTAATTTAAAAAAAAAATGCTTTACGGTAATTTTTCACGTTGGTCGCTTCACGTAGATTTCGATTATTATTCGTCGTAGCCACCACACATAAGGAATGTCCAAATAGTCGGGGATGGTATCTATTCCACTTAGTTTTTTCTCAAGATTCAATTTCCGGCGGCGGAACTTAACTATAATGTATTTTATGAAATATAAGCAATTAAAAGTTGCCGATAGCACGGTAGTAGCACGATTGTCGAGTGTCGTGCAGCAACGATACTACTTGACGATGAATTTCCGATAGTTTTGTACTATCGTCAACGCTTCGAGATGAGCGAGTGAAAGCTGCTAACTATCGATAATGAATTATTAAAAACATCGAACTTTCGATTTGACGGAGGCGATTGTGTATTTAAAGATGTGCGTCAAACTAGCGGCAGAGACTTAGCGTCGAATTTTGGTACTTGTTATCGGAAAAGTATCGGTCACTTTCAAATGCATTTATTTATGTATAATAAGAAAAATAGAAAAATGCGAATTTCTAAAAAACTGGCTGGACGATTTCCTTGATGTAGAAAGCAAAATGATTGATAATTCGCGATCTAAATCGGAAAATAGAATAATAAAGGTTGAAATATTGCCACCTTTTCGTTATCATACGTGTATAAATACTTAAATGCATAGTTGTCGTCTTTTGCAGCAGTCTATTTTACCAAAGATACTGTTTTATTGTAAAATGGCAATTATTTCATATATTACTGCATTTCTCTTCCATATACAAGTATTTTGAATTAATTTGTTCCCGCTCAATACTGTATAACATTATTCAACACTGATTCCGAGCAGTGGTTCGGTTCCCGTTGGAGCTAGTAGCTCGATAGGCCTTTTGAATGAGCAACATGAGGTGTGTTTACATTTTGCTATTTTATAAAAAAACTGGCTGATCGATTTGTTTAGAATTAATGCGTAAAGCTTCCTTAAACATGTATCTTCAAGTTGGTATACCGTGCATTGAGCGCCATTATCCCTGAGAAAAGTTATTAGGGTTCGAGTGCAAGGGTGATTTTGTACGGTCATTTTGTATGGAGCTGGCAACGAGGTTGCTGCACTGTAGTACAAATATTTTAAAAACGTGCTGATTGATTTTTATAATTTTTTCGAGATTGGTTAGGTGAAACTATAGACTTCAATCGTGTATATGCGGTTTTCGGGGCCATTATCCCTGAATTAAGATATTTAAAGAATGGTGAAAACCTAATTTTTCAACCCCTTTATTTACCCATATTATAAATTAAATTCAAAAATAAATGAATGTAGATAGTAAATAATTTAATTTTTTGCAATTCTGCATTTAAATTTATTTGGTTTCCTGCTTAAAAACATAAATAAATGCATTTGAAAGTGACCGATAGTTTTCCGATAACAAGAACCAAAATTCGACGCTAAGTCTCCGCCGCTAATTTGACGCACATAAGCTAAGCGTATTCCAAATATTCGATACCGATCACAACTATCATCGATGACCATTTAAATCATTTGTTTTTATGCAATTCTTCTTAGTTTATTTTGCAAATCACAAAGTTTTCGATTAAATGCTATACAAATAATAGACAAAAATTCATCTTTTCAGAAACAATGAGAGTAAAAAACAGTTTTAATGTTCGATAACGATAACGATAACTGGCGTCATCGATTGAAAATTTGAATAAATGCAGTTCTGGCTTTAATTGTTGCTCTTGTTGTAGTTGTTGGTTTTCATGCTGTTTCCGCCGCCTTAGAGCTTCTCGAGCAGAATGGAGGAGGCGCCGCCGCCGCCATTGCATATGGAGGCGCAGCCCAGTTCGCCGGCTTTGAGGGCATGCGCCAGATGGGTGACCAGACGGGCACCAGACATGCCAATCGGATGGCCCAGGGAGACGGCGCCGCCGTGAATATTCACCTTGGCCGGATCGATGTCCAGTTTGCGTATGTTGGCCAGCACGACCACGGAGAATGCCTCATTGATCTCCCACATGGCAACATTCTCTTTGCGGACACCGGCACGCTCCAGCAGCTTGGGCACCGCCAATGCTGGCGCAATGGGGAAATCAATGGGATCCGTCTCGGCATCCTGGAAGGCGACAATGCGCGCCAATGGCTTGAGGCCAGCACATTTGGCCGCCTCGGCGGTCATCAGGACGACAGCGGCGCCGCCATCGTTCAGGGTCGAGGCATTGCCGGCGGTAACGGTGCCATTCTCCTTTTGGAACACCGTCGCCAGCTGGGCGAATTTCTCAAAATTGACGCGCTTGAATTCCTCATCCTCGGCAATGATCTGCTCCGGCTTGCGCTTAAGCTGAATCTTCACCGGGGCAATTTCATTGGCGAAGATTTTATCGCTCCAGGCCTGGGCCGAACGCTTGTAGGATTCAATGGCAAAGGCATCCTGCTCCTGGCGTGTCACCTGCATCTTCTTGGCGGTGTTCTCGGCACAGTTGCCCATATGGAACTTGTTGTAGACATCCCAGAGACCGTCGAAGACAATGCCATCGGTTAAATTGACACCGCCGTAGGGCGTGGCACCGCGCTTCAAATAGTATGGCACATTCGACATGGACTCCATGCCGCCGGCAACAACGATCTCAGCCTGGCCGAGCATCAGCGACTGGGCGCCGAGCATCACCGATTTCATGCCCGAGGAGCACACCTTGTTGACGGTGGTGCAGCACACACTGGTCGGCAGGCCGGCAAAGATGGCTGCCTGGCGTGCCGGCGCCTGGCCGAGTCCGGCGGACACAACATTGCCCATGATCACCTCGCTAACATCGCCCTTGCCAATGCCGGCACGCTGAATGGCCGCCTCGATGGCCGTGGCGCCCAGCTGTGAGGCCGTTAGCGGCGCCAGCTGGCTCTGGAAGCTGCCGATCGGTGTCCGTGCGGCGGACACAACAACAACATCGCTGATCTTTGAGCTGTAGCGACGCGCCTGGGCGCACAGCTGGCTTCTGGTCGCTTGCAACATGGCACTAGATTTATATAACCGACTGCTTGCTAGTATCGAACGATCACTGGAATTTTACAACCGGACCTGATCACACTTGCAATAATATTGAGGCTGAGAACCTGTTGCTATCCACTTGCGTAACGAGCCGATGGCGTGTGAGCAGCTGTTGCGGACAGTGTTGGAAAGTGGAAAGTGGCAAGTCGCTGTTTGCAAGCTTTTCGTGCTTTAGTATTTTTGCTTGTCATTGGGTTTTTAATGCTACGTTGCTTTAATACGAAGAATACGACAGAATTGTTAATACTCTGTTTTCAGTTGCCGGCTAGAAAAGATTCCAGTTTATCTTGGAACTCACATTGCGTACTTTTTTATTGATGCCGTCTATGTTAATCATTGCAAATAATGGTTTGGTTTCATTTTTGTACTTAGTATTTTTCATGACAGATCAGTATACTTTCGGAGTAAAATGTTTGATTTGGTTTTTAGTATTTGTTAAGACAAAGCGATATTTTTCGGAACGTGGGTAGAGTTACTTTTGAATATAAAATATATAGTAATGTCAGTAAAAATTAAAAAAAAAAAAAAACAATTGACATCCGAAAATATGACACTTGTAAAGCACAGCAAATATGCCAAATACTTAATATTCAATTTAAATAAACGTAGTTAACTTCACAACATGTTTTCTAGTATATTTATGGTATTTGAGCATTTGCGTTCGACGGTCACACACTTCTTGTAACTCCCAAACAATAACAAAAGCAGACGGCGGACAAACGCTACTTTGCCGCCTGCCGCCAACCGACCGCCCGCCCGCCCGCGCGCTAACCGACAAGCACTCGCTCTCAAATTCCTGGTTCTGGTTCTGATTCTGGCTCCGTTTCTAGCCCGCTGCTGTGTTGCCAATTATCGTTGCATCCAGCCATCGCGTCGTCTTGGCCTTGTGCGTGTGTGTGTGTATGTGTATGTGTGTGTGTGCGCAAGAACAGCGTTGATTAATTTTTTCTAACGTTGCGCCCATGTGAATCCACAGTATTTTTTTTGTTGAAACTTTTCTTATGTGTAACTAACGGAAACACCAACAACACTGTGAACGCGAATAAAGCATGTGCATAGGTATAATTTATATTAAAAAAAAAAAGCAACAATAGGCATTCAGCATAAAATCAACTGAAGCGCGACAGGAACGGCAGCAGAGACGGACAGAGACGAGGCAGACGGACCTACCAACGGACGGACAGACGGACGGACAGGCAGCAAGGCAGGCGAAAACTGGCGCAGCGTGAAAGCGAGCGAGATAGCAAATAATCACATTAAAGCAATAATAAATACTGCACCAGATTTTAGCTAATTATAGGATACCAAGTTATAGTTCAAATTCAAATCAATACGCTGCGAAAATCCGAGTTGGGCTTATCACGCAACAGTAGCAGCAACAACAACAGCCAAAAAAGTATTACATACCAATACAGACAAACGACGACTCACACGGACGAACGCACGCACGCATTGTTGCGCCCACTTCAAAACAAGAGCAAAAGAGCGCCAGCAACAACAACTTAACGAAAAGATAGATAGAGAGAGCGAGAGAGTGTGTGAGCGCAAAATCCCCGCGTCAATTTTAAGCTTCAACTTCGGCTTAAGCTTGCACGGCATCAGCAGCAGCAACAACTACAACAAAAAACAAGAGAGATAATCATGGTAAGTTCGCAGCTGACGTCGTCGCGCGCCTTTTTAGACTAGCACCAAATGCGGCAATGGCAGCAACAACACCCACACAGACGCAGTCGCCGTTGGCGGCGCAGCCTCGCTTGAATTCAAAAACACAAAATTCGTTTTCAGTTAACGCACTGATTTGTTGCCCAACGGTTTTTCGTTTTTAATTAAGCGCAGCATTATTTGCATCTGTGTATGTGCCTTGTGATTGCTGTTGTTTTTGGACAGTACACAAATTATATGTAGCTTAGTAATACGGTTAATTGATTACTCATCACAGCAGCCGAAGTCTACCAGACTATCAAAAGCGTGTAGTGCATTTAAACAGGGTGCCTCAGGGTGTCAAATAATTCACCACTTTTGTTTTACAAGCGTGGCCCATTTTGATTACAATACACTTACATGTGTGTGTATGTACGTATGTATGCATACCCCTTCGCGTCCCGCCGTGCGGTTCACCTTTAATATGATATTGTCGCGTATATCAACAAGATTTAGATAAGCTTGAGCACATGAATTAGGTGAAAAATAAAATTGCCCGTCTCTAATTTATGTGTGTATGTGTGCATTTTCATTTGGGGAAACACCTGAAACTTGTAAATCATCAAGCAATTGAAATCAAATACCGCATTAAATGCCAAATTCAGGTTTTGACTTTTAAGAAAATTGCTCAGCATAACATGCAAATAATCTTTTGGTATTCGTAATGAGTCTAAGTTTGAAATATTTCATTAAAATAATGTCCCCTTTTGGGAAATTTATATATGTATATTGTTCCCTGTTGATTTTTAAATTGAGTTCTGCAAGCGATTTTGCGAGTGACCACTCTCTCTCTCTCTCACTCTCGCTCTCTGGTAAACTCTTCGAATGGTCACTTGTTGTTTCTCGGTTTTCGAGTGTGGGAAGAACAAGTGCGATTTGAGCTTCTAACAGGAAATCCAAACTCTTTTGCTGACAATGATATAAAAACACAGAAAAGAACGACCATTTACAGCAAGTCGAAGATTAAATACCCTTGCAAATTTATATATGTATGTATATATCTATATATGTATGTCAGAAAGTCGAAACTATTAACCAGTGAGGTTTTATGAAAATAAACAAGAGGACAGGTCTTTATCGACGCGATATATGTATATACTGATCAAGAATATACAAGCAAGCATGCGGATGTGAATGCATACATGCACACAGGCAGGGACATGCATACATGCACTTATGTACATACATATATACTCATGCATTTATGTAGATATATGCATACAAACTTGCATGCAAACTATCTATGTATGTATATATATATATATATACATTCATGCATACATATGCACACTTAAGCGTACATACATTATGTGCATGCATACATGCATGCAGGCAGGGGCATGCTTTATGCACCTATGTATGTATGTACATATATACACATGCATTTATGTACATACAAACATGCAGGCAAACTATGTATGTATGTACATATGTCCACATGCATGCATGCGCACATAGGCATGCACACATCCACACAAATATACGTACACACACGCGTACATGCACTCGCACATACATATATACATATTATTCCCTGGTTATCGATAACATTTCGAATGACTCAACAGTTTGTGGAGCTCCCCCACATTTGCATTATTAATTTTAATTTTGTTGTTGTTGTTGTATATTGATGGGTTTTAAAAATCAATAGAGCCCCAAGTCAGCTGGCGTAGTACCCATCGTATTTGCTGTCCCAATGATAATTCAGTGTACTTTATATATTTGTAGTAATCAGTCATTTGACTGTCTAAAAAACTCATCCACTCTAGTGGCTGCCTACAATTCCAACGGAAAGGAACTCAGTTAAGCAAACAAATTTCTCAGTTCTACATTTTGTATTTTTTAGTTTATGAAAATCCAACGTCTTAAACTGTTTGTTCGAGAGGCGCCCGTTTGCCGTCACTTATCTCTAACAGGGAATAAAAAAAAAACAAATCAAATCTCTAGCTCCTACTCTCTCCCCCTTCTCTCTCTCACTCCCCCTCTCTCTCTCCCTCTCTCTTTCTCTCTCCCTCTCTTTCTCTCTCCCTCTCTCTTTCTGGCCCTCTCTGTCTGCCTTTCTCTCAAACGTCTCTCACACTCACACTTTGATTCTCTCACAGAGCTCACCGATCGTAACGCGACGAGGCGCACAACAGGCCAAAATACAAACTCGCGCCATGGTCAAGTCGAAGTCGACGTCGACGTCGACGTCGTCGTCGGCGACGGCGGCGGCAGCAGCAGCAGCGAACGCAGCGGCGGGGCCGAACGCCAACGGCAGCAATGGCGCCGGCAGCTGCGGTCCGCGCAAACCGAGTCCAGCGCTTCAGGAGGCAAAACGTCGGGCGCGGAACATGCTCAAATCGCAGAACAACGGCACAGCCGTTCAGCTGGAGCCAGTTATCGATATCTTTCAGAATGTGAGTACATGTGCAATATATCGATAAAGATTGACTGACTGACTGACTGATGATCAGCACACAGCTCAAACCCTAAGAATTAGCTAGCTGCAGTTTTAACGGGCCAAAATTTGAAAAAATCCTTTTACAAGTTGTGAATCAATTGCACTGAAACTTGCTTTGGAAGCTGTACATAAACAACAATCGCTTATCGATTTATCGCATTCATCGGGGAATCGTTTTTAGAGTTTTTTTTGTTCCTGAAATATATATTAAATTAGGTCCAGTCGCTTTTTATAGCCTTTTCAATTTAAAGCATGCAATTGCTTATCGATTTTAAAAAATCGATTAATCGAATTTTACCAAATCGCATTCATCGGAGAGTTTTTCCGGCAATTAAGTAAAGTCATCGCTTTTTTTTAGCCTTTTTAATTGAAATAGCCTTTTCTTCTACCCCCACCCATGAACTCGCAGGCCCTCAACGCGAAGAGCATGCATCGTGGCCCCACCGCACTCATCTATGATGAGTCCATGAGCGAGCATTACTGCCTCTGGGACAGCACACATCAGGAACGACCCGAACGCTTCACGCGCACCCTGGAGCGGTGAGTGGGACCCAATCACAATCGCATGGCGATATCCTTCAAATAATGCCTATTTGTGTAGATGTCGCGAGCTGAAGCTGGTGGAGCGTTGCCTGCAGCTGAAGTCCCGTCTAGCCACAAAGGACGAAATCCTGAAGCTACACTCAATGGAGCATTACGAGCGACTGGAGCAAACGTCGGGCGTGCACGATGAGGAGGCTATGGAGGAGCTAAGCTCCCACTATGACGCCATCTACATACACCCGGTAAGAGAGTATAGCTATATTTATAGCTAAACGCAGCATCTTGAATAACTTCGGTCTCTATGGTCCGATCTTTATGAAATTTTCAATGTTTAAGTATGGCATAAAAAAGTGTGTATATACCAAGTTTCCAGTATGCAGCTCCTATAATCTTCGAGCTATGCTTAGATCGCAAAATGCGTTCCGGGTAATAAAATAACTGGAGATTGGGCTTGTTGTTGCGCCTGAAACCGGTTATCAAATTAACGCAATCAGTTCCAATGCGATTGCAAGCGTAAACCAACCGAGCGTGAATTAAATTTCACATACCTAGAAAGATTAGATAGTTTATATACATATACATATATATGTATATATATAGAGGTATTTCCAACTCAAAGTACAGCTGATCTCTGTGGCTTATCTATGCCGCTGTGAGATGAATTTTAGATAGTAGCTGCGACCTATACGATCCCATTGCATCTATTATAC